AATATCTAAGAGATCAGTCTAAAACTTCAAACAATAAGTCAAATTCCCTACTCCACAAGCAGGGAAACAAACTGGGCACCAATAGAGGCTTATTATTAACCATGTCACAGTTCATCTACTAAGGCTCCAAGTACAATGAAAGAAAAAGTGTACACTTATTATGACCAATAAATATTTCTTAGTAAAATCTTCTACAGTAATTTCTCCTTTCCCTACCTGCACCTTGAATACATGCAGTTCTGGATGCCAAGAAGGCAATTATATTTCACATATGTAAAAGAACTGGAATTGAGTCTTCTCTTCCCAACTTTTATGAGATAAAAATCTTAGAAAATCACGTTTTTGAGTTTTAATTTCACACACGTACAAAGACAAGCTTGCACACAAACACTCGAAGATAATATAGCTGTGTTTTCTAAGTCCCATTGGGTCTGGAGAGAATATAAACTCGTACTTAATCTTTCCCTCTTCCTTATGTCGATGACGTAACATTATTTATTTAATAAAGATAAAAATCGTAAGCCTTCTTTTAATGTTAATGTGTAAAACACATTGTGTCACAGCTAAAAAAACCAAAGTTCACCCACCCCCATTACCAGCTGAAATCACTGCTTTAATCTGATCACCTACTAAATCACTGGGGTTACAACTCTAGGTCCTTGTGGTAGATCTTGCTGGCCCAATCTTTCTTTCTTTGAACAAAACAGAGTTAGAAATATACAATCCAATCAAAGAGTCCTCTCATAACAACAAACTAAACAACTTTGCTTAAGTAAAAATTATTGTTCCCAGAATAAACCAAAAGGTCCCACTGAGAATACCCAAAGCAGCTACAGAAAAATACAAATTAGAAGACCCAAGCTCTTATCCCTATTCTCTTGATAGACAATGCTGGCTAAACTGTACAATAGCCCCTTATATTTGAAATAAGAATGTCCTACTTAGTAAATTACTTGAAGATCCTTTCTGTAAGTATAAGAGTCTGATAGACGTAGAAACAAACTCCATCTTGCAGAGTTGAAGATTTCCCAAAGAAGTGATGTCATAAATGATGGCTGGCTTTGCCTGTGTAATTATTTTAAAACCTTCTTTTAGAGTTAATATTCTCTCTCATTTCTTTTTTTAAAATCTGTTATTCTACTACAGTTGTCCCAAATTTTCCTCCTTTGCCCTCCTCCTCCCAGCCCCACCCCGACTCTGCTCCCACAGTCAATCCTCACACTCTTGTCCATGTCCATGGGTCATTCATATGTGTTCTTTGACTAGTCCCTTCCCCTTCTTTCCACCATATCCCTCTTCCCCCACCCCTCTGGCTGCAATCGGTCTGTTCCATGTTTCTATGTCTCTGGTTCTGCTTTGGTCATTAGTTTATTTTATTAGATTCTACTTATAAGTGAGATAATATGGTATTTGTCTTTCACCACCTGGCTTATTTCACTTAGCATAATATTCTCCAGTTCCATCCATGCTGCCACAAAAGGCAGGAGCTCTTTATTTCTTTCTGCTGCATAGTATTCCATTGTGTAAATGTACTACAGTTTTTTGATCCACTTATCTCCTGATAGGCACTTTAAGGCTGTTTCCAGCACTTGGCTATTGTAAATAACACTGCTATGAATATAGGGGGTGCAAAAGTTCTTTTGAATTAGTGTTTCAGGATTCTTAGGGTACATTCCCAGCAGTGGAATTGCTGGGTCAAAGGCAGTTCCATTTTTAATTTTTTAAGGAAATTCCACAGTTTTCCACAGTGGCTGCACCAGTCTGCATTCCCACCAACAGTGCACTAGGGATGGTTCCCTTTTTTCCACATCCTCGTCAGCTCTTGTTGTTTGCTGATTTATTAATTATAGCCATTCTGACAAGTGTGAGGTGATACCTCGCTGTGGTTTTAACTTTCATCTCTCTGATGGTTAGTGATGTTGAGCATCTTTTCATATATCTACGGGCTATCTGTATGTCCTCCTTGGAGAAGTGTCTATTTAGGTCCTTTTTTGCCCATTTTTTAATTGGATTGGAAAGATGTTGGATTTAAAAGAATCCAACATCGTTTTTTGCATATGAGTTCTTTACATGTTTTGGAGATTAAACCCTTGTCCTATATATCATTGGCAATTCTCTATCATTTTTTACACCAATGCCACTGCCTTAAATTTAAGTAGTTCCGATTGCTAAGGAAGTACTAACAAACAGTTCTGATAACAAATTTCATTCATACATTCCATGCACACAAACTCAGAATGTGAACTTATGCTCCAGCACTTCTTACTGTTGGGTTGGCCAAAAAATCCGTTTATTTTTTCAATAAAATAAAAGACACATTTTCCACTGTCACCAATAACTTTATTGATTTGGATATTTTGAGTATGTAGGCTATCTCCCGCTATTGGCCTCTAGTGGGTAGAAGCCAGGGGTGCTGCTAAACATCTTCCAATGCATAAGACAGCCCCATGGCAAAGAATTATTTGGCCAAAATGTCAATAGTACCAAGAAAATTGCAAACCACTTCTGACACGTTTGATCAGTCACAGCACCTTCTCTATACACTGCACAAATCTTTTTTTTTGTATTTCAGTTACATTTTTACCTTTCCTGAAATAATAAAGCATAATACACCAAAAATGTTGCATAGCTTCTTCCATTTTCAATATTAAGATGGCTGCACAAAAATTCACCAATTTTGTTAAGTTTATAAAAAAATTCATGCTGATATGACAGCTTCCACAAAACAGCCTAACAAAGTTGTTTCTAGTGAAGTTAAAGACAACTAAGCACTACCAGAGCCATCATACAGAAAAAAAATGTACTGGACTTTTTGGCCAACCCAATACAATGTTACTATTCACCAACTACAGAAACCAGGTCCTTCATGGAAGTAACCACATCTCCCAATTCTGATCCTTAAAGCAAATGATAGAGTACTGTAGCCATCAGAATACTTGCCAAATATTTCTGAGATTGGTTTTAAAAGGACTTTATATATCAGTAATGAAAACCCAAATGCATATTCAGTTGATCTTTGAACAATGCACTGGGGATGAGTGGAATTAGGGATGCTGACCCCATCCCTTACACCAACAAAAATACCTGACTCCCCCAAATCTTCATTACTAATAGCCTACTGCTGACCAGAAGCCTTACTGATAACAATTAACATATATTTTGCATGTTATATGTATTACATACGATATTCTTACAAGAAAGAAAATATTAAGAAAATCAAGAGGAGAAAACGCATTTACAGTCTTTACTGAAAATAATCCACATATAAGTGGATTCCACAGTACAAACCCATGTCGTTCAAGGGTCAACTGTAATTCTTTTGGATAGTTAAATACACCAAGCAATCATAAGCAAATTTTGTTATGTTCACTAGATGTAATATATTATGGAAGCTAATTTATGATATATTAAATTTAAAATATCAGAATAAAAATTGTTATATATAACTTCTATATTTTATATAAATATACCTATTTATTATGTAAATCATATAGCAAATATACTGTAAATCCATAACTTTATGTATTTATATAAATGTGTTTTTATATATTTAAATATATATGAAATGTTTTTAAATTTTATATGTAAAATATAAAATATATTTTAAAATGATATATAAAATATCAGGTTAAAAATTATATATGAAATATAATTACAATTTTTAAAAAAATCTTTGCATTGGGAAAACATCTGGAAGGAAATGCAAAAAAACGTTAACAGTATTTGTTTGGGTGATGAGACCATGGATGCTATTTTTCTCCATATGCTAACTCTTACTTAAGGAGTACCCACTATTTCTACGGAACTATTTTTTTTTTTTTTTTTTTTTAAAGAAAAGAAGTGGGAAAGAGCACTCCTTAGAGGTAAGGAAATGGAGTAATTAGAGCAGTTAGTTACCATTTAGTAAGTGCTATAAACTTTTATCTTCTAAGGAACTTTATAAGTTATCATAAATGATAACTAAGTTATACAATATTTGTTAGAGGGATATCCTGCCTAATTTTGTCATTTGACAGGTTCAGAAAAAAACTATAGTTGTATGGTGCCTTGCAGTCTACAAAGTGCTCAATGAGTCTCATCCCATGTCCTTCCAATAATCCTGTGAGATTTATATGCCCCGTTTTAAGAATCAGGGCACTGAGGGTTGGAGAAAGAATGTGCTTTGATAACTATGTGCCAGCCTCTGGGTTAAGCACAGTAATCATGTGAAAATTGTCACCATTTTGCATATAAGAAACAAAGGGGCAGAGGTTAATTGTGCTCACTATCTTACAGCTGAGGACACTGCTCTGACTCGAGGCCACGCACTGAAAACAGGAGTCTTGAGCTATAATCAACTTCCCAGAGTCCTTCAGTGGAAGAGTTGAGCCTATGACCCAGCCCTATACCCTCGCCACTACACCAGTCTCCTCGCCTACGGTTCCTTTTAAGAGTTACTTTGTTTGCTAACCACTATGAAGGTTCAGAAGCAAAGTACAAGGCCCAGTAATACCCCAAAATTAACGCTGGCGGAAGGCATGGCAGTGAATAATTACAGAGTGGCGGGGACAGGGCTAGCAAGTCTGTACACTAAGAGGTAGCCAACAGACTATCTCCGGAGCTGGGATAGCAACAAAAATCCCAATTCCTGCCTTTACACTCGCGTAACTCGGCACAATTTCCAGAGTGCCTTTGGGTTCATCTCAAAGGATCCCCACCACAACCCGTGGGCCGGGCGGGGCAGGGATTGGTCCCACTTTGCCGGAAAAGCTACAAAAAACGTCACAGCAGGCGGGGCAGGCAGAAGAGCGACGAGGGATGGGGCAGACACCTGCGGGGACTGGGCACACCACCGAGTCTGAGGTGCCTGAGGCCAATGCAGAGTGGAGGAAGAGCGCAAGACCTCGGGGCGGGGGGGAGGGGGGGCGGTGGACAAAGGCCCGGAATGAGGACGCGGTGCTGAGGCTGTCGCCCGCGGAGACTTATAACCTCGAGGTCAGCCCAGGAGCCTCACTACTCACGTTGCACCAGCCGGTCCCCGGTGAAAGTGGAGGAGCAGCTAGTGATAAGCGCACAAGGAACGCCCGCAGCCATAGCTGCACCCGGGAGCCGGTTCCGTCAGGGAGCCGCTTCCGCCTTGGGCTGTACCACGGCCCTAGCACGCGGGGGTAACACGACTGATAGGGCGCGTTCTTGGAATGGCCCGGCTGCCCTGACTTCTCCCTCGCCCCCTCTTCCGGTACCGGCGTAGAACAGGCCGAGCCAAGCGTGGCGTTGCCAAGGAAACGAGTTCCCCCGACAAAGATATCCGTGCCTGGAGACCCGGCTCCCTAGGGGTGGTAGTCTTTCCTGGCTCGAATCATGGCTCAGGGGACTGAAAACTGCGACCCTATCGGAAACATCTTAATCCAGGTGGGAACTGAGCGCCTCCCGACCAGGCCCAGCTAAGATACCTCCGAGCGGGAGCGAGCCCACCAGCAGCCTATGCACTCGCAGCCATCCATTTGGGGCGCTGCCCCCAGGCTGCCTCCGGAGAGCTCCCAAATGCGTTAATCGGCCCTCGCTCACCAGCCTAACTCACCGCAGGGTGCTGTGAGTCCATCCCGGGAGGTGGGCTCCAGAAGCGCTACTACGCCTCTGGTAAAACTCCAAGACCAGGCACCTCACCCCGGAACCTTTACTTCGGAAAAATCCACCTCACACGGAGGCACCATTTTTAAATGTATTGTTCGGAGAAATCTGAATCCATGGGTACAGGGGCGCGGGGAAGTGCAAATCAGACATATTTGGGGAAGTGTTAAATTTGAAGAGACATTGAAATATGTGAACTCCTTTTCTTAAGCACCCCAATTTTTTGGATCAAAAAGACTTGCAAATAAATAAGTCCTGGGGTTGTAATGTATAGCATGGTAACTATAGTTAATAATACCGTATTGTATCTTTGAAAGTGTCTTAAGAGACTAAACCTTAAGAGTTCTCATCACAGGAAAAAAAATTATAACTGTATGCTGATGGATGTTAACTAGACTTATTGTAGTGATCATTTTACAATATATACAAATATCAAGTCATTATGTTGTACACCTGAAGTTAACATAAATGTTATGTCAATTATATCCCCTTGCTTGGGAACAGAAACATAGGAAAATATTTTTAAAATAACGGATTGCAGATCAAGTTAAAGTTTTGAATATAAAATGTGACAAATTTCAAAACTTGGAATAATTTTTTTGTGAAGGAGTAAATATCAAGAAGGCCTTAACTTCTCAGTATAACTCAGTGTGTGACAGTGATTTCATAAAATATTATTTACATATCTAGTTTTAAAATATTTCCACATGTATCATCACTCTTTACTCTTCCATTTAGTTCATTTGGCTCAGGCTTGAAGTAATTTTCCTAAGGTCACTCTATAAGGACTCTCACTCAGAACTGTAATGAGTCTAATTTTTCTTCCTGCCAGGATTTTTATCTCTTACCTCCCTTCAAGGAGAAACTTCTGTAAATTCACCTTTTCCAAAATACAAACCCCTAAACTTACCAATTTCATAGACTTCCTTCCTCATTAAGAATCCAACCCAAATCTCCCTACCTCACCTGTCTTTCACTATCACCCCAAAATGAGTTTAGTCAAAGAGCAAAGTCCAAGGGAACAGCCTTCACAAGACTGCCCTCGCTTCTACATTAGCCTCAAGTTCAGGTGTCCCCAGAACCACCCTTGCACTTTGAACCCGCTGTCCATAATTTGGGAGACCTGACCATCTCACATTGGCTAATTTGCTAGAATAATTCACAGAATTCAGTAAAACACTATGTTTACAATTACAGTGTTATGACAACATGAAGCTGCAAATAAAATCAGCCAAGGGAAGAGATGGATAGGGCACGGTCCAAGAGGGGTCCTAACAGAGTTTCCAGTCATCCTCTCCTTATGAAATCATGGACAGCATTACCTCCTCCCAGCCACAACCAATGACATCCTGCAGAGTATTGTCAACTAGGGAAGCTTACATGACACTTTGGTGCCCAGAGCTTTCATTGGGGCTCAATCACACACTGTCCCACATGACAGATCTTTCACCTCCAGCTTTTCCTGGAGGTCAGACTAATGCTTTTAGCCTTCAGTTCCTCTAAAGGTTGGAACTGATACAGGGTGGCTCAAAACCTCGTCATGAATCACGTTGTTAAACTGTCTGGTGGCCAAAGCCTCCAAGCAAAGACACTCCTCTCAAGTGGGGTACTTTACAGGCCTACCGATCATCCCCCAGTGTCTAAGAGCAAAGGCTAGACCTCTCCTTAGGTAAGGTTAATTATGCACTACAATTCATACTGGCTTCCAAATCCAGGGCCCATTTTTAGACTCCAAACAATTGAAACACCAATGCAGACTCCTACCCGGAAAAAGCCAGTTCTTCCCAACAGTATACTTCATTTGACTACAGGAGCAATTAAGTTCTCTCTAGTTTTCTCTATTTCATCCCACCTGAGACAACTCTAAAAAAGAGACCAGAATTCAGGGGGAATTCTCATGCCTAATTTCACACCTCTTGAGATAATTCCACTTCCCAGGGGCAGCTCCCCTTGTGGTTTAGAATAGTGTAGGGACTGTTCAGCCAGAAGTCTTTTCACTTCACAATGGGATCCAGCGGTGGCTGTTTGGTCGATCTAGGATACAGCATTACAGGATTGATGCCACTTCACCTCCCTGTGCCCCAGTTTTCTCTTCTGTATGATACATACCTTGGATTAGATACACCTCTAACTAAATTGATTCCATTTTCCCAAAGCTACATAATATCTCTTTATTGGAAAGAGGACTTCTTTTATTATTAGTTTAGACAATCAAATTGTTTTTATGTATAATATACACAGGGTGGGCAAAAGTAGGTTCACAGTTGTATGTGAAGCAGTTTATTCTTCTGTATTATTTATTATTATTGTTACTGTATTATTCATTATTAACCTACTTTTTCCCGCCCTTGTACATAATATACTTCAAATCTCTACTTGCTTCACCCTGCTGTGGTGTATTTGGTCTGTGTCTCAGATATATTAAGCAACTCTTTGGACCAGTGGTTCTCAAAGTGGAGTTCTAAGACCATCATCATCAGCACCAGCTGAAACTTGTGATAATGCAAATTTTCAGAATCCTCTCCCAGACCTACTAAGTCAGAAGCTCTGAGGATGGGGCCCAGAGATCTGTTTTCACACAAATTTGATACATGCTCAAGTTTGAAAGCTACTATTTAGATCATACTGTAAAACATAAACTGTAATATGATTTTTAAGGAAAATCACAATAATTAAAGCTATCATAGTATAATACTTGAGGAAATCTTTAAAAAAAATAACCAGGGATTATGAACTCTGTGTGACTTATTATGAAAACATCTGCCTTAGATGTTTAGATTTTCCAGCATAGTCCTGATTGGGAATATTGTCCCATTGTCAGATTATATATTAAAGTCCATATTTTCCTTTTGGTTCAGAAAATATGATTATTATCTCCACATAGAGTTCTACTGGGAAGCATTTTTGTTAACTAAATTTCTTTCACTTTTAAGTCTAAATGCAGTTTAGACTTAACTGAATCTTTCCTCACCTAATCAGAATAGTGAGGTTTTTACTATAACAATAATAATCATTACAACTAAAATAGTTGTCAACATTTATTGAGAGCCAGACACTGTGCTGAGAGCTCTAGATTTTTCTCAAGTCCTAGCCACAACCCTGTTAGGCAAGTATTATTTTATCCCCAGTATACTGTAGAAGGAACTAAAGTACGAAGATAAAGTAACTTGCCCACGGTGATAAATCTTAAACAGGTTTGGCTTGTTTGTAAAACCATCTTGAAGAAATATGGTGGTAACTCTGGGATATTCCTAGATGCTTTCTTTTATCAATAACTCTTAGAAGCTTTGCTTTTATACTTGTTAATAATAATGTGGTACCTTTTAAATATCTTTACAAATGCTTGCTTGACCCAAATATTAACCATATGATTGTGCAACAAGGACTACCTAGTCTTGCTATCAATATTCCCTTTTTAATTGGTTTTGAAAATCATATTTTAAAAATCCAACAGTTGTATGTTAACACCAATCTTGGAAATATTGGAGCTAATTGACACCTTGATATTATCACTTCCTTACCAATCGTGCTGTCTGGTTTGCCAGAAGCATACAACATAAAAGTGATGCGAATGACTCCACCAAACCCTCTCTTTCGCAGAGATAAATGATAAATGAATTATGAGACAATCTGGAGTCTGGTTGCCTGCTCTTTTAAATCCTAGAGCAAATTTTTACTGCATTAAATATTTCAAGAGCTTCTTATTAAGCAGCCCTGTCCCCAAACTGTCAAAATAATAATTTCCTCCACATAGATTTCAAAATGTATGAAAACCAATGCCTTTGATGATCACAGAGATGATAGGTGACAGGTAAAACTTCAATATGGTAGATTGGATCTATCTGAAGAAAGAAGAGAGATTTAGAACTTTATCTCTTTTCCTACTCAAGTGTGGTGATTTCCTACAGTACTTGTCGCTAATGCAATTATACAAACAGATGTGCAGATATTAAGAGGGGAAAAGAAACTATCTGGCAAGAAAAGGAACATGAAAAGTCCCTGAGAAAGATTGAGAGTAATTCAAATCAGTGAACATTTACTAGGTGCCAGTTATGTTCAAGGAGTTTCACTAGGTTTTACAATTCAGGAGAGGAGAGTTAACATTTATTTGTTCAATGCCTCCCTATGTGGCTGGCCCCATACAAAACACTCAACATACTTAAACCCATCTTATTCTTGCCACTATTCTGAGAAGCAGCTATTTATCTCCATCTTATAGATGAGAATACTAAGGCTCTAAAAAGCTTGGTAAATTTGCCAAGCTTAATTTAGTAAAAGAGGAAATTAGATTCTAGTTTGTGTCTGTCTGGTTTTAAAGCATATATTCATTCATTGTCACACATTTCTTCACTTCCTTTCAACGTTTCTACAAAAGGCAATAATTTTTTTTCCCCTCTTGGTGAAGAAACTAGAGAAAATGTGGATGGTGTACATGGATGCCACATGACTAGTAAGAAAGGAATTAATGTTCATCTGCTTTTTACCGATTCTTACTATGTACCAGACCTGCACATACTCACAACTCTATGAAGGAGTGTAATTGTTCATATGAGGCAGATGAAGAAATCAGACCCTTGGTTCCCTGATCGTAATCCGGGGCAGTTTTCACTCTCTCCAGTACTTGCCAGGCATAATTACAGACTCATACATGAAGCTACAAATACTAGAGCTACAAGAAGGAAATTCAGTGCATTCAAAGGGATCTGGAAGTGGGGCTTGTCCTTGAACTGCTTCTTTGTACTTCCCAAATGTCTTTAGACAATAGATGGTAAATCAGTTTGCAGCAGTAATTTGGACAAAACAAGTGAAAGAAGTACATCTTCATCCCTAGTGTCTTACAAACAAGCAGTAGGTGTGTTCAAATTTCAATCTGTGAGCCCTGAAGGGTTTACATGACAATTTGTGCAGAGTACAAATGACCAGATGTGTCTGCCAGACTGCGATGCCCATCAGTGAAAAAATGCAAATTTTGATCTTTTGAATACTTGGCTCAGTGGGAATATTCCAGAGTAATCGATAACATAGGCTGGATCAGTATGTGTAAGTCCAGTTAGACTAACAGAGAAAGATAACCATTTCAAAGTGCCTTTAGCAACCCAGTCTGCAGATTGTTATTCGTGTGACTATTGGTGAAACAGGTGTTGGGTTCATAAATTTGCATAACAAAATGTTTTTCTTGTGGCAGCAGCCCATACAATAATTGGTGCCATCTGTATTTATTTGCTGAAGTTTGATTTCTAATATGAATTCAGAGAATCTTGTGCTGTCTAATTTCATAATGCCCATTTTATTCTGAGGGGGCTTAACATTGGAAAGATATTCATCATTTCAAAGGAAAAAGACAAATAGAAGGAAAATGTTAAGATAATAACTTATATTGCTTTTTTTCATGGATCCTTTTCATTCTGACTCCATAAAACAAAGTCAAGGCCACACACCTACATGACTGCTTTTTCTGAGCAGTTAGTGAGGAAGATCCAGCTAGAATGGAAAACCAACAGGCCCTGTCAACATATTTACAATTTTCTTTCTAAAGGCACAATTTTCACTAGAGGCTTTCTGTGCTAAAAGTGTTCTGTTTTCTTATCCTTTAACCAATTAATAGAAATCAAAGTTTGGCACAAACTTTTTATGGTCCCTGACTCAACTGCTTTACCATCTGAGAGAGCAGAAGCTATTTGCATTGCAGTTTTAGCTTGAATTTGTTTCTGATGGAGAAAGGAAAGGTAGGCAACTGTATGAAAGCTTAGTTTTTCAAAATCTAAGAGACAGTAAGTAATAGAACATTCTAATAAAGACTATCTTAGAACCATAAAGACAGTCCTTTTTAATGAACACCATAAAATAAACCTTACTATTTCTAGCAATTCAAGCAAATGGAAAACCTTTAAAATAATATGTTTTAGGTGGACTATGTATTCTTTTAATATTTCACATTTTCTTATACCTACAGGTCCATGAAGACCTTTATCAATTGAAGGAGAAATTAACAAATTTCTCACTGAAGGAAAGAGGAGAAACTCTAGACATTCAGTATCTTGAAACAGCAATCAAAAGGACTGAAATGGGGCTAAGAGTAAGTATAACTTCAGATATTAAATAAAATACCAGAAGGAGACAAAGAGTGCTCTAGAAGAAAAGAACTTGTTCTCATGGGACTCTCTGTAATCCTATAACAGAGATGGATTTAGGGTGATTATGAACTTTTTATGTTTTTTTTTTAAATGATAATGATATTAACTGATTGATCGGTTCACATCCTGTTACATCCCACAAAGAATTTAAGATCTTGATAATGTAAGATTATGCAGTGATAACTTCTAAAATGTCGTTGGTAAAGAGAATTTTTAAAATAATCACTATTAGTCCAACAATATGCCTTATTAAAAAAGATTCATAGCAATACATCATAGCAAGTTGAGAATAATCATTTTTGTAATATTGTAAACCAATGGATAAAACCAAAGAAATATACCAATTTTGGAACAGAGAAATAAAGTAAATTGGGACTTCATTATTATAGACCAATGATTTTCCTTTTCTTTTTTTTTAAGATTTAATTTATTTTTTGGAGAGAGGGGAAGGGAAGGGGCAAAAGGGAGAGAAACATCAATATGTGAGAGAAACATCTATTGGTTTGCCTCTTGCACACTCTCAGCTGGGGACCTGGCCTGCAACCCAGGAATTGAATGGGTAACCCTTCAGTTCCCAGGCCAGTGCTCAATCCACTGAGCCACCCCAGCCTAGGCTAGAACAATGATTTTTGACCTTTTTCATCTCATGGAACACATAAACTAATTACTACAATTCTTCAGCATACCAAAATATATTTTTTGCCAATCTGACAAAAAAAAAAGTTATTATTTTTGATTCATTCACACTGGATGGCTATTGTTGTGTTGGCTGTTGTGATTATTTTCTTTGAAAATCTATGCGGAAAGAGGTCAGTTCCCCTGACTAAATTGTCAGGTATTTATGTTTTAAAAATTCTTGCACCACACTGGTTGAAAATCACTGTTAAATACTTACCTTAGAGCAGGAAAGAACCCAGTCATCAGACAAGAGTAATGTTCATTTATAAAACAAGGATTTATGCCCAAAAAATGAAAATACACTAATTCAAAAAGCTATGTGCACCCCACATTCATTGCAGCATTGTTTACCATAGCCAAGGCATGGTAGCAATCTAAGTGTCCATTGATGGTTTAATGGATAAAGAAAAATATATACACATACATAAATGGAATATTAATCAGTCATAAAAAATGAAATCTTGCCATTTGAGACAACATGGATAGACCTCAAGAATGTTATGCTAAGAGAAATAAGTCAAAGAAAAACAAATGCTGTATAATCTCACTTATATGAGGAATCTAACTCCCCAACCTTACCCCCCCGAAATACACCTGACCTGACAGATACAGAAACAGATTGGAGGTTGCCAGAGGCGGGGGTGGGTGAAATGGGTAAAGGTGGTCAAAAAGTATACAAATTTTGGTTATAAAACACTAAGTCCTGGGGATGTAATGTTCAGCAAGATGACTATAGTTGAAAATACTGTACTATATTATTTGAAAGTTGCTAAGAGATTAGATCTTAAAAAGATCTTCAAATAAAAAATTTTGTAAACAGACATTGTGGTGATTATTTCACAATAAATATGAATATCAAATCATTATGTTGTATATCTGAAACTAATATAATTTTATATCTTAATTTTTTTAAAGTTAAAACTATAATTTTTTTAAACTTATAAAACAAGGATATATTAGTACGTGGGTCCAAGTAAGGATCATCTCCATCGTCTAGACCTCTAACTGTCAGTATCTTTGCTTTTGCCTCATACTTTCACTCCACCATCTAGTCAGCTTCATCACTCAGCTCCTGAGGCTGTGAGAGATATGAATGATTTTCTACCTTCATCAGACTAGCGCACCATTTCCTATATTACCTGATGGTGAGAGGGCTGGAGCCAGCTGGAGTCTCTGGATTGCCCGTTTTAAATAATCTGCTACCTAAAAGCCAAATTCTTTCCTCAGATGCTTGCTTGAAGTCCCTGTAGGAGGACATTACTCCATATCTGTATTGCCTAATAAAATTTACCTGGCTAAGCGATTTACTGACTGTTGTGCACTGTTTCATTTGTGAAGAGTGCTACGGGTCAATCGAGCTTTGATTCTCACTTGTTTATAATGCTTTTTGGGATAGAGTGATTTGGTCTTGAGATGCTTAATTATACCTTAGACATGTAATGAGCACATAGTGTGTTTTGCCTTTTGGCTTAATTACATGATTCAGAGTGTTAACCTAATGAAATGAAGTAGATTAGCTGAGTATCTTAAGTCCACTATAATAACCTAAACTTTAACTTTTCTGTAACAGATTCACATTGAGAAGTATTTAAATGTTGTAAACCATCATGTGTTAACTACTCCTGTTAATGATGATGAGTTACAGTCTCCTCACACTTCCAAATGGTAAGTAAAATAGCCATTTTAGGATCCAAAATAAGTACAAAAAAATAAGTTTTCTCACTCAGGTAGCTGTAGAGGCAAAATTTTATTGGCCTTGTTTATATCTATTCTACTAATTTCAGTAGAAGTTTTGCATAAAAAGTTAATGGAAAAAGATCATGTTTTGCAAATATTTTATAAAAGATGTTTATTATATAAAAAAGAAGTTAATGGTGCAATTTGGACTTTAATAAATTTTATTCTGGGTTACATTTTTTGCGTTCTAATGCTTGACACAATAAGAGTTATTTCAGGGGCCCATTTTGGTGGGGGTTTTTTTTTTTTTTTTGTAAAATGTATCCAAAATTCAACTCCGAAAGGAAATGTTTTAATGCAAATCAGTTTTTATACTATTCAGATCACATGGCTCCTTCTTTACAGTTTTTAGCATATGTTCTGTATTGTAAAGATGACTTTGGTATTGGGGAAAAAATGAAAATAATAAAAGTTGCTTGAAATATTCATCATGTAATACATCCTAAGAGATGATATATGAAAATTAGATTTGAGTTAAAGAGAAATGATCTTGCCTCGGCCTGGACCTTCTTATATGTCATCAGCTTCCTGAATTTAAGTGTTTGTAGATTAAGGTTTGTCCTAAGCTTAAAAACTCTATGGCCTGTATTTGCATTGTAAATATAAACAGTAAGTCCTCGCTTAAGGAATATCGGGTATTGGAAACTGCAACTTTAATGAAATAAAGACGTGCGACGAACCCAATTTTACCATAGGCTAACTGATACAAAGAAGAGTTCAATTCCTACAGCATATTTCTGGTCACAAAAACATCATCCAACTTCTAAATAAAGACCCAAACACTTCTAATATTGAGCATTGAAATAAATGTGAGCTATACATACATTTATGAAAAATTAATGAAAACAAGATAATCATTGTCCCATCTGTTCATTCCAGTTCAGGGGCGTGGGTGACCAGCGCCTCTCCCGGCAGCTCAGGGCTCCAGGCAGGACCCACCCTGGATACGACGTCCTTCCGTCACAGCGCCACTCACACCCACACTCCCTCCGGGTGGGACAAGGCAGACATGCCAGTTCGCCCAGCGTGCATGTGTTTGGGATGCGGGAGGAAACCGGAGGACCCGGCGAAAACCCACGCAGACACGGGGAAAATGTGCAAATTCCACACAGACAGTGGCCCCGGCTGGGAATCAGCATTTTTTTCCTTCTCATCAACATTATAATGAAACAATGTTGAACAAAATGACATTATTCAAAGACCTGCTGTATCAAGCATACTATCAGACAGTGAGGTCAAGCTTTAGAAATAGAGCACAAAGAACTATGGATATTTATACATGTAGTAAAGTCCTAGCACTCAGTAGTGGGGAGCAAAATCTTGGGATTACATTGCACCTGTCTCCCACATGAAGGCAGTGCCACAGGCATCCATCATCCCTGGGTAGAGGCAACCCAGGGATGATGTCTGGGTTTTAGCCATTTAAAAGATACATAATTTTTTAAAACAAGGAAACTGTAGGGAAAATAGTAGAAGGGATTCTTGGAAAGGAAAATATTGGAGGTCACTTTACCAGTTTATATAGACTCTTAGTTCAAAATCAAGAGGACCCAACAGGGCAAAGTGGGAGGCCTATATAGATAGCAGCCAGGAGATCTGTAAAGGTGAAGAAAATGTGTACCCCAAGGGTGAGGCATGCAAACAGAAAGTAAGAAAGACTCAGAATGGAGGGGTTGGGGAAAGGAAACAGGAGAAGGGAGTCTCCTCTTCTTCTCTCTAGAGAGTTGATTACCAACTCTAATCAAAGTTCCCCTGCCTCCAGCTTTCTCTTTGTCCTCTCACCTTGACAGAGAAACAGATCCTGGGCTGTAGATTTGTAGGTTATGGTAGCTGAAAAGAGCGAGCTAGGTAGCGATTGCAGCAAACAGAAAGGTTCTGGCAAAGACCTTTTCTTTCCCCCTGATCAATGAGTGTCCTTGGCCTTTGTTAGAGTCTCTGAAAGAGTTAAGGAAGACATTAATTGGGGCATGGAGCTGTCTTCCAGAAGTGGTCCTTGGATCCTATCTTTTCTATTTAATACAATAATATAACCAGCAGCCGCCTTCCTATCAGGAAGATGGGAAGCCTGGTAAATTTGCATGAGCCTTACAAGCCTGGAAGAGATGGCAGGAGCATCTCAGTCATAGCTGTGGCTGTGTGGTGCTGATGGGGCATGTAATTTGAAAATGAAATGAGATGAGCCAAGGTTATAAACTGGAACAAAGTCCAAAGTAGGCCTTCAAAGTAAGCAGGCCTGAGGCAGGCCCTGGGAGTCCAAGTGCGAGGCACAGGGAATGGCTCCAGGAGGAAGAGAAGCAGCAGCAGCAGAGGGAAATGGAAAACGGGAGACCCAGGAGACCAGGGACTGCTGCCTGTGACTGACATACCCAGGCAGACAATCCACCTGGCGCTGTACTTGCAAGGGCACCCCCAGAGACAGTCATGAATAGATTTGGTCTGAGTCTGCTGGGCAATGATATGCGACGTAGGTTACAGGACTCAGAATTCCTTCAGACTCTCCCACCTGAGAGGGGTAAGACTGGCCAATTCATTGCATTTTTCTTCCGAGGTTCCATGACAAAGCCCTTAAAACACCCAAGTAAAAAGGTGTTTTCTTTAATGACCGATGACATGACTCACCAAGGAACAGTTTACTTAGCCTCAACATTGATTATTAGGGGATCGAGGACTTAGTTTCATGAAAGTTTTAAGCTGTGACAGATCCTGGATCTGGCCTTTTATTTCACATGGCCATAATATGTATATATTTATTTATAAATTACATACTTATCATACAGAGTGAATATGTTATATAAAGTATACCAACATAGAAAAATACTTTTAATCCTCACCTAAGAATATATTTATTAATTTTAGGGAGAGAAACATTGATGTGAGAGAGAACCATTGATCTGTTGCCTCCCATACGCATCCCAACTGGGGACCAAACCTGCAACCTAAGTATGTGCCCTGACTGGGCATATGGGACAATGCTCCAACCAACTGAGCCAGCTGGCCAGGGCCCAATGTAGAAATTTTTAATGAGATAAAGATGAAATAAACATTTAAAAATAATTGTCTTGATAAGCAGAACAAAATTTCTTTCTCTTGCTAAAATATTATTAATTATACTGTCCTGGTTATTTAATCTTAGTAACCATAATGACTTTATACTGACTATAGCTAACATCCCAAAACTTACTCTACACTTAGGTGAGATTCAGCATTAGTGCTGATTAGATTTAAGTCCATATTTCAGTTACTATTTTGAATAATTTTTAAGTTTGGGGGTTTTGGGGGACTGCCTTTCCATAAATTCAATGGGATTATCATCATTTTTACTTTCAAATGCAGCTAAGGAAAAGCTCAGGTTAAAGTGTCATTTTTTGCCATTTTCCTGTTTTTCACCGAGGCTTGCTATCATTATATTTCAAAAACACAGTGTGTTCTTTGCAGAAATCTTATAAAGACACCTGTCCATTTTTTCACACTTAGTTAAAATTCGATGATATAATCCATGAACTCACTGCATGTATGACCTGCAGTACATTCTAATGCTTTGAAAGCAAATGTGCCAATCAATGCTGGCCCCACAGTGCGGAGCTTCCACTCTCAGAATGCCTCTAGAACTGCAGGTGACATGACCACTTGAGGGATCCAGTGACAAGCTGAGTATTAAATAGTAGTAGAAAGTAATTTCTTAGTTTTATTTCTTATTTTATATATTTATTTTTTTAAAGATTTTATTTATTTTTAGAGAGATTGGAAGGGAGAGAGTAAGAGAGGGAGAGACACAATGATGTGTGAGAGATAACATTGACTGGTTGCCTTTCACATGCGCACCCCCAACCAGGAACCTGGCCTGCAACTCAGGCATGTGTCCTGACTGGGAATTGAACCAGTGACCCTTTGGTTTGCAGGCCAGTACTCAATCAACTGAGCCACACCAGCTAGGGCTCATTTTATGCAACTAGAAGTTTTTATACTTTCTTCACACAACCAATAGCAATATCTTATGCCTCTCATTACGAGGCACCCTACTTGAGAGACCATAGGTCAAGAGTGATGATTCTTAAACTGTGGTTTGCAATCCTCTTCACTGGCTCCCAGATGGGGACCTGGAGTCTGCATTTTAACAAACACTCTTGGTATTCCTAATGCAGACAATGTGTGCTTGGAGTCCCTGGGACAAGCCTGACTTTCTAGAATCAATATTCTTTTGGCCACATGGATAGCTTGCCTCTGTATGATAAAGAGCGTGGTCAGGGAAATTCTGCTACCCTGATTCTATGAAGGGTTGGAGTGAGCCTCTTGCACTGCGATTGAGCCAGGAGTGGGACTTGGCAGTCAGGCTGGTAGGACTGCCAATATCTGCTCAAACTGTGAGTCTGACAGAGTATCAGAGGCCAACAGTCGAGGGCAGCCACCCCTTTTGAGAGGGGCGGCATGTAATAAAGACTGTAGATTTCTATTGCTCCTTTGACAGCAGAATACACAGTTCCCATGAATGAATGAGAATCAACATTATTCAGATATATAGGGTTTCATTCTATCTATGAAAATCCAGGAAATTGGGAGATTTCATTCAAAATGACTGTCCCTGGGTATCTTTAACAATGACTTACAACAGACATAAAATAATTATCCTCATTATCATGGATTTCATCATAATCAATATTTTAATAACATTTGACTGTTTGTAAAGGACTTTCTAAAAACCTGTGAGGTAGATGTGTACCCTCTCCTTTCAAAGATGTGAAAACTAAGGCTCCCACCAGCCCCAGGTTACACAGGTGGTCAATGGTGAGACTCAGATTCAGGTAAAGCCAAATATCTGCAATCTACTACTTTCTCCTCCACCAGAGCTGCCTGAAAGACAGGAAGGCTAATTTTCACAAGATACAGTTCCCCTTTTTAGAAAGTATTGCTCCAGGAAGAATCTGGTAGTT